ACTGAGCAAGCTTGCATTCTAAAAATAAATTTGTAACATTTATTTTTGGTTAGGAATGTCTTTGTTTAAGAAATGTTTTGAATTTGGTAAACTGATACACATTGCCTTAAAAGGAAACAGCCTTGCTTATTACAATTCTCTAGAAAGTCAATAGTGAATAGAAGCATGATCAATACTGTTCACTAAAAAAAATGTTTGATGTCTTTTAAGATCATTGCTGCATTGGATATGAGACAAATACATGAGCATGTTGTTTTGAACATTTATTTGTATTCAACGATATTGTGTATATAAATTCAATTACTGTAAAACCACTAACATTTAATTTCACTATTTTGATGTTTTGAGCATATTCACTATAATTTCATGTATTTGTCAAGGAAACAATGAGTTTTATTGTTATTTTACATGTCCAGCTAGATTTAATTTTGAGAATTTTACTTGTTAGGAAAAATAACAAAATTAAAACCCAGTTTTCATTCAAGTTATAATGATTATACTATAGGTAATGACTGATAGTGTTTCTACAACAAACAAACTTCTTCTTTTATTGAAAAAAATATTAAAAATCATTTTTCCTATTGTCCCTGCGACAAACTGTTTTTGTTTTGGCCTAAGGGAATTTTTGTTTCAACCTTCTGCATCAATTGACTTGATTCATATGTACAATGCATCATGGGAGGTGAAAATCCCATTGATAAGTGATAAGTTGGCTTAGTCTAGATTGACCCTTGACTAGCGTGGGATTACTTAGGGCTAAAACACAGTCAATCCAGGGATAAAAATCCAAATAATGACATCAGAATTTTTGTAACAGTAAAATTGGGTTATGTTTAATTAATTTATTTAAAAAGTCATATTTCTACTACCACTATTTTCCATTACTACTTTCTAAAATGCTTAAAATACTATATGCATGGGTCTATGAGTAATTAAAAAGGTCTGATAGAATTTGCAATTGTGTTCAACAATTTTTGACATTTTCAGTATCAAAACTGCAAAAATGAGGGTAATTCCTTGAACAGGTAGACATTTACACTTGATACGACTTGTAACAGCAGAAATGATGACCTAAAAGTCAGGAACATCAGACCAGTATGACCAGAACTCAACTCATCATTAGAATAAATATCAATATTAGACTTTTTAAACTCATGTCACAGAGCAATATTTTAGATATGATAAAATTCACTCTTTTTGGATTACTTGTTGTTTACTGTACTTTTTGAAAATACAGTAAATTCAAATCAACGAGAGGTTGTGATTATGGCACTTGTTTGTATAGCCCTCCATGCGTAGGCTGATTAGAAGATTAGAAGATGTATTAATCTCTAAATTATATTTATTTACACCAGTGACATCAAATCACAGATGCTCAGATTGGTTGAATGCCTTTTAACTGCTATTTTAAGTTTTTAAATGTTATTTCAGCATATATATAAGATAACCGCAAACCACATCCACGGGTAATCAAAATGGTATACATGTTATAAATTATTTATAAGCTTAAATATTTAAAAACTCAAACTAATTAAGTCTTTCCATTTGGATTTGAATGATACTCTTGTCGCAACAAAGATATTTATAAGTTTCACAATTCAAACTGAAACAAGAGATTTCTACAGGCCGATAGAATAACAATAATGTTTTCAAATGACATTGTTGTGCACTGTGCTTGCAGATTAGCTGGTTTATTGACATTGACATTTATAAATTATTATAAAGATGAAGGGATGCCTTTGTTTTTATAAAAATTTATAAAGATGAAGGGATGTCTTTGTTTTTATAAATATTTATAAATTTCAATGACAGTTGAATCTAACCAGCCAATCAACAGGCACATTGATGTCATTTGAATATGTTCCAATATTATTTCATCGGCTATGAGAACCTCGTTTCAGTTTGAATTGTGGAATTTATTGTAATTTATAAAGATGAAGGAAATGGGTCTGTTTTGCTGGAAGTAGTGATTTATAATTGAAACCCTGTATATTTATATTTGCTGACTTGAGTGTACCATAAAAAATAAAATAAAAACATAGATGAATTTTAAATAATTAATTATTCCACAAGATTCATTTCATTTTTTGCATCCTACTGTGTGTTCTACAGATAAATTTATCAAAGTGTTTCAGTACATCTTGTGGTATACCAACTCAATCTACAGTTCACCAAATTCTGAAGACAATGAAATACTTTATATCATTATAAATTCTCTATTAAATTTCGATTTTGGTACCGTAATTAATTGACAGATAAATGTCAGTTTCCGTTAAAAAGCTTTCCAGACTTAATGACAATGTAGATGTCATACCGGGGTCACTGTGCTGATGGTTATGTAATACCATTCACGGATTGAAATACGGTATGCCATTCATTGGAAGCGAAAGTAACAGTTTATTTTCATTTTGCACCATACTGCAGCCTGAGAAAGACCACAGAGCCATACACTAGTCTGGAAGTGAAATTATGGTGCTCGATATCAGTGATATGCCTTCTGGTATGTGTATGTATACAACATCAGAGAGTACAATGGTGTGTTATTGCAGCGTTTGTATTATAAATGGGTTTGGCCGTGTGTATCACAGCCATTGCTCCTTACCTTGCCGACTTACGCAGTTATGCGGTGAAATCCACAGTCTTCGGGGGTGTGAATTACGGTGGACAGTTTTCTTGGGTAAACAACTCGTCGATAAAGATTATATGATCTGCACTTTGTCACTGACGTCAACGGAGAACGGAAAATTAAAAACTTCACGTGTGTCGAGCGTAGTTTGTAATCTCTGATAACAATGTTTTGAACGTTGCCAACATATATTGCACGCATGCGCAGATAAATTAGTTGAGTACTACCGCCTGAATATGTTTGCATATCAATGACACTCTTCAACGACTCCCGAACTGGAAAAACTCTCTTTCAGAACCGTCTGAAAATGGAAGTACATTTTGTAGAATTGTCCCACATCCGCTAATGACTACTTACGAAAGATCTCATTACTTTTGACACTGTTATTTTATTTTTCAGCAATAACGGGTTTCAAAACTTTTTCTTTGGTTACTGAGGGAGACTTGTTTTCCACGCTTTACCGCTCCTAGGGGGTTGCAAGCTGAAACCCCTTATCACCCCGACCGTAATCTTGGCTGTCCGTAGTTTGCATGATATTTTGTCAACGCCAGTTATAAGCGATGATATCAATCGGTGCATAACTTTATATCTTATCATATATATTATTCTGCATGGGAAAATCGGAATAATATTATTTTGAGTGGAATAATTTTATTCAAAGTATATTCAAGGATACAATGAAAGTTAAGAAATAACACAGTTAAATGTTGATATTCTGAATCAGGCACGGTATACATCAGAATGTCTACGCATACGTATTGTTTCCTCTTTTAATTTCACGTCAACGTGGGAGCATATTATCTTGTCTCTAATATTATATAGTATAGTCATATACCTCGTATTTCTAAGGTATATGGCATAGAAAGTCACCTACCATACGTCATAGACACAGTCATTGTGAGATAAATTCTTGAATTTCAGCGCACCAGTGAATTGAAATCCAAATCTAAACAATAATCAAAATATATTTAGAAAAAAGTAGAGGATAACTGTTTCGATTTAACTTGAACACCGTATTGTATGTATAATAGCTTTATTGTCCCCTTGTAAAAAGAATAAAATTGGAATCACAAAAAAGTTGTTTTTCATTAATAAATGACACTTACTAGTACTACAAAGTTGTAACTTCATTGACACCAACCAAATTGTGCCATTGCAAATCAGCAAAGAATTGCATGAACAACTGGTTGCCCCCTGAGTTTGACAAAATCAACGAGTAAAATAAACAAATCTTCTAAAACAAAATGTATAATCACCATAAGCGGGGAAAAAAAATAATAGAATGAGTTTGTGAAAAATACTAGTAGTGTTTTCGAGTTCTGATTACATTAATCTCAGATATACTACAATTATGAACTGTTTCCACGGAGTGTTTGTTAAAGAGAAGTACATAACGCATTTACTGTTATTTTTCGTTGGCAGCAGAACAAAATGTATATTGGAACAACATAGAGCTGTAACATACCGTCAGCGTGGTGGACATAATAAAACATAATAAATAAAATAAAACATATTTATATTTCGGGGGTCGTTTCGTTAATCCTCCATAAAGAATGTGAATGTATTACTCGAATTTCATTACCCAATCACCGTCAACCAGACGGTTATTGGTTTTATTTGCATATGAATAGATATCTATCCCAGAATGCAATACGTTTTACCGCGTCATCACCGTCATGGCGTTGGTCCCCCTAAGCCTTTGTGGTGAGTCGAGCTAAATTTCGCAAAAGTACTGCCCTAAAATTAATTTCAGACCTGTCGGAGTATAGTGATTGCGTTTCCGCAGAAACTTGTGAACATTTTGGTGTGAAATTCGCCCAGCTATTGACACATCTTGCTGGCGAAATTTTAGACCGAACTAGGGGTACAAATTTTACCTGGGAAAATTGAAAAGAGCAAAATGGCTGCCACGACTCCAACCTACGTAGAAGTCACCATACCGGCTCCAGTGGCAACATCGCCTCAGCAACAGCAACAACAAGATCATCACCAGCGTCAACTTAACGACTACGAAGCTTTTAAAGAATACATCGAGGTGTTCCTTGTCGAAGTTTACCGCTGTAAACTATGTAAGTACAACAGCGCCGTGAAGGTGAATATAGCGGAACATATGAAGGAAAACCACTTTCCGACTTACAATCAAGCTGCTGGCAATGGGGATCAGAGAGAAGAACATGCCAATGCCGAATCTCAGCAGCAAAATCCAGTTCATTTAGGCGACCTGACAACACAACAAAATGACGCAGTTTCTCTGTCAAATGCTTTGGAAGTGTTGATGGGGTTAGGAGCTGAATGCGCCGCTGACGCTGCTCGGAGTGCCGAAAACACGATGTCGCAACCAGAAGGTGAGATGCAACATCAACAGGGGCAGGTTCAGAGTCAGGACCCAACTGTGACGCAAGAACAAACCGACCAGGATGATGACGATGATGACTGTGAGGCAAAACAGCTGCAAACAGTCGACACACAGGTATTGAAAGATGTTTCTAGTCAACAGACGACCATAACGATTGTACAGGATCCAGCATCTGCGCACGGACAGCTACACACTGCAAGTGGCCAAACCCTCATCTTGAGTAGCAAGCACTTCAAGAAAAGTAGAAAAAGTGATGCTGTGATCCCTACCAGAGAATCGCTAGGTATATCATCTCCATTCCAGAAGAAAGAATATATAGGGCAGCGAAAATTTCAGTGTGAGAAATGCAAGATGAGATACAAAACAAGAGATGAATTGGATAAGCACATTCAGAAAAAACACAATCGAACAAAGAAATTCTTGTGCGAGATATGTGGTGAAAAGTTGTCAACGAGAGCCAGTGTCAGGCATCATGTGCGAAGAAAACATGCCGACTCCAAAGAAATTCTTAGTTGTGACAAGTGTGACTACATCACCAAGTTTGAATCTCGTCTCAAGATACACATGGGAAAACACGGATCAGAGTTTCAATGTGAATTGTGTAACCGTACATATGTGAGTAGTGAAAAGCTGGAAGCCCATTACAAAACACCCATGCATAAAAATGCAGTGAATCCCATCATATGTGAACACTGTGGGTATAGAACAAAGAAGAAAGACAATTTTCTGGTTCATATGAGGAAACATACCGGGGAGAAACCCTACAAGTGTAACATGTGTGACTATGCTAGTGCCGATGGGAGTACCTTAAAAAAGCATGTGATGGCAAAGCATTCTAACATTCGCCCATTTAAGTGTAATCTGTGTTCTTTTGCTTGTGTTGACAAAAAGGGACTGACTATCCATATGCGACGACATACTGGTGAACGGCCGTTCAAGTGTGATATGTGTAATTATGCAGCGAAGCGACGCAGTGCTCTTAATGTTCATAAACAAACCCATCTGAAACAAGCTGAAGGGATGGTGAGAAGAGCAAAAATGCCTGGGGTTGTACCTAGTCAAGTCACCATAGCATATGACGACCAAGACCAAGCCTACCAAGCAACAACTGTCAGTTTTCCGACGCAGAGTAATGTCCAGGCGCACTCATCACAGATACCAATTGTCCACCATGTCATCACTCAACAAGAAACTGAACAAGCTGTACGTCAAGCTACCCAGATAACTCATGTCATCAACCAGGATGGAACCCAAGTTCAGATACCATCATCTATTGCACAGCATGTCATTGCGCAACAAGAAGCAGGACAGACAGTACAGATTCCAACCTCCATCGCCCAACATATCGTAGCACAGCAAGATGGTAGTCAAGTGCAGATCTCATCAAGCATTGCTCAGCATGTTATCGCACAGCAGCAACAACAACAACAACAAGAAGGAGTGCAAACCGTGCAGATACCAACATCAATTGCACAACATGTAATAGCACAACAAGATGGTGGTGTCCAGTCAGTAAATCAGGCAGTTCAGATTCCTACATGCATTGCTCAACATGTCATCACACAACAAGAGACTGATCAGTCGGTTCGAGCTATTTGGCAAAGCATGTGAAAGTGACTTGTGAATGAACAATTAATTTAAATCAATTAGAAATGGATTTAGTTTTCGCTGATAATACATACTTTCAAACAATTCAACAGTTGCGTTCTTTGATAGAGGCTGTAACATTGCTTTTCGTAGAGGTGCTTTAATATTATATTTGAGCTGAGTCACCATTGATTTAATTTGTCAGCAACAATTACATACTTCTTTACATGGCACTTGTGGTCTAAAGCTTCATGTCTTAAGTGAGAGGTGCATTTTTCTCCTTGTAGAGAACACAGTTGTCTGGCATTTAATATTTGTATGCATGACTAAGAAAACATGAGTGCGTAATACTATAAACCATTTAATTTCCACATTTTGATATCTTCATTACATTCGCATTACCTAATGTGTGGAAACTGTTCTTGTGAAATGAAATGGGTTTACATTAGTAATGCATTTGTTGATCATTTCAAATTGAGAAATACTTTAGTTATTTTAGAGTGGAATATTTTTCCACTGAAGATGCAACAGTCTGGTGTTTGTGTAATTACGTATTAATAATTTCAACTTTAATTCAATTCATATGAAAAAAAGTGTAGGTGTCACTAAGACTGAATTTCACATGGTGCATCAATTCTTTGCAAAGCTTGTATTTCAATGGGAAAATGCCAGTGACATTCTTAGCTTCCAAATTATTAAAGCATTTGTGTTCATAGTTTGAATAATATGGAAGCTATGATGTCAATGAGTGCCCATTTCTATTTCTCCCTAGATTTTTGTTGAGTTATGAATACAAATAGTGAAAATTAGTGATAATTTATATGTTTGTAAATTTATTAACTGCTAATTAGAAATGGTAGTGTGTTTGGCTTATATAAAAATATCAAGTATTACTGAGATGGTCCATCTCTAAATCAAAAATGTTTTACTGTGGCTGTATTTGAAATTCATTATTGTTGTCAAATACTGTGAATTTTGCCATAGAAACCTGAAACCACACAAATTTCTATCTGCAAATATTGATAAACTGTTTACAGTACATTGTGTTATATAAATATCCAGCAGTAAGATGTGTAAACTGAACAATTTTCAAGTGCTTTTTTTCATAGACTTGTGAGTATATTGTATTTTGAGTTAATACCGCTGACCAATGATTCTCCTAGTCAAATTGATTTTTCATATACCTCGGTTTCACCAGTCACCAATGCCAAATTACCATATGCTTAGATTTGGCTACAGGTAATTATTTTGAATTACAAACATTGTCATCAATTAATAAAACTAGGTCATTACACTAAAAAAGATAAATTAAAAATCAGGAAAACATACTGTTTATTATGTTTAAATGCGGAATTATAAGATGATGGTATGCAGTTGGTGTGATATGATGGGAAGAAAATCTTGCATGTATTGAAGAAGTCAAATGTACATTTCTGGAAATGAAAATAACAGTGTTTGACTAGGGCTGTTTCTACTAGCGTTGTGTTGGTTAGAATACATTTCATTGAAGTGTGCATGAAACTCTATCGTTATCGCAGACTGTAAATAGTTAATATGAAGATGCATACCCTTGTAAATTCATGGTACCGGTATACGTGTATATTACTGTAGTATCACTGTAAACCGCTTAGATTCTGTGAAAGGCAAATTCTCACGAGTCTGTGAGAATTCTGTCTTCAAAAACACTATTATGAAACCATGAAAATTAAACTGTTTACATTATTTTAATCTTACCGGTAATTATGCTGTTTCATGAGGAAAGTTTCTCTTCCTGTCTAAATATAAAGTGGGAATAAAAATAATGTAGTCTTTGGTTAAAAGTATTTGATACTTGTTAGAACCCTAGTGTATAATATTTTTTCATGAAAACAAACTGTATGAATCTTTAAGTTACAAATTAAGTTCCCCTGGCAGGAATGGCTGCATAATGTCATTCTACTAAAATGCACTTTTATATTGAATAAATAATTCCTGATAGGTTTTGAATCTTTTTTCAATACTTGGGTACTGACTGAATTAAGGGAAAGGTTTCTTGCACACAAAATGGGTCAAATATACTCTTGACATTTCTTTCCATTTTTGCCAACCAGCATGGGCAAGTCAGCACTAACTGGTGACATTCCGCAAACATCGTTTTATTAACCAGAACATGTAACGTAATGGCTCTATTAGAAATAAATTTCTAATAAAACTTTGCATAAACCAATGATTGCATTTATTGAATGCTGAATGATTAAAATAATATGATCATATACATGCATGTTTCAAGTAATAGAGCAAATATGGTACATGGGAAAACAAATGACATTGGCGAATAGTCTCATTTGATGAGTGACTGGTTTTTGTCACTGTCAACATGCACAAAATGAAATGTAGCCTTGCCCAAAACAGAATATACTCGTACTGTAAAATTATTTTAGCCAGAAATAATTTTCACTGAAAAGACATTTTTGCTGTTTTGTAAGAAGTTTATTTTCAGTGATTTTTGATGAATGTTAAATATAGGGAAAAAGTAATTTCATTGATTCATCCCTTCAGCGAAAACTGCAAAAATAAAGCCAAAGCAAATTACTTTACACTAGTTCTTGGTGGATGAATAAGTTATATTGAAAGTTGAGGTTTCTAATCGTACTGTAAAAGGGTTAATTATTCACTGGGTTTTAATTTTGCGTTTTCGCTGACTGGAAAATGCGCTAAATTAAAACCCAGTGAATATGTAAAATTTATTATAGAACACATTATCTAAATGATAAAACCGTGAATTTAAAACCCACTGAGTATGCCTGAAATGGTAAATCACCGAAATTTAAACCCAGTGAAAATTAGTCATTTTGCAGTATTCTTTTATAATTCAATATTACCAGATGACGTTTCGGCATCAGTCTTGTTATTTTTGGATTACACTTACAATTTCACACTTTCAATATACTTTATAAAATATTCCATGTTTTATTATCAAAATATGTTGCAGAATTTGCATATACTTGGCATAATAATGTGTGCTTATCAAAAGAATTAGTGACTGAAGTAGGTGGCCAGCTGAAAAGTTTACAGACCAGTCACCCTGTGAATTTATGATGAAATGTGCATTGACAATATGCTTATCTGCCAGTGACCCCAACTACCTACCCACTTTGCATATTAATCAGTTTTGTAAAGTATAGACATGATTAGCTTGCTTAAAATGAAAAATTAACTTTGGTTATATTTATGTACTAAAATTTTCTTGCCAAATTAACGCTTGTCAACAATTGTATTTTTTAGTATACTAAATTAATCTTGTGCAATTGTTGAATTTACAGATATACAGTTGCATATTGACCTTTTTTTTTAGCATAACTGCCAATGACCTCTTTGTTGTACATTTAAACCAATCAAATTCTTTGTCTTGGCCCAAAACTGATACAAGAAAATAGGACAACAAAAAACATTTGTTATATCAACTAAGTTGAGATTTGAATAAATCAATGTGACAAATATCCATATTTTGAAATGAGATATTGATGTTTTCAAGGGACATATAACCATGATCTAATTGTATTTTATATCAGATACATGTAGTGTGGAAATATCAAGTAGTACTATGCTGAGATGATATATACTGTACATTCAATAATTATGTAAATTTGAAACTTGAGTTAATTTTTCAGTTTAATGCAAAATCTTGCCTGATATCAATTATAATTCCTCTAGTTCCTTTTCTTGAGGAAGAGTGAGGAATGCTTCATGAGTTTTATTGAATTAAAATTGTGTCAAACTTAAATTTTGATAAATTAGTATACATACATCAATATGTTCAATTTATGATTTTGTGTTGATTATTACATTTCCATTGCAGTTATGGACAGTTTTATTTGTGATCAGAGAAGGATGAAGTTCCCCCCCCCCCCCCCAAATTAAAACCTCTTGTTTTGCTGTGGGTAACATCAAAGTAGAGTTATAGCATCTGAATATGGCAAATTCCAACCAGGTGGTTGAATTGCTAGAGAAAAATAAATTATATTTTGAGCACAAATCAGCTGGTCCAATTAAAAGAGGAGCCAATGGAATGACAATTTGTTGTTAATGTTGCAATCTTTGACAACTCGTCAAAATAGTGCCCTGTGATTAGCAAAAGACTATATAAAAGTCTAAAATACAGACCAGCTGCTTGCAGATATCAGACAAGGCCACTCAAGTGGAATATTAGCTTATATTTGTTGATTATAACCCATTTTGTTAATGGTATGAGTGAATGAAAACTACATTTTTCCCCATCAATAATTTTCTAATTTACTTTGAAATAATTGCATAATTTGTGCATCAGTCTGTTGAGTGCTTTGTAAAGTTAACAATTTATTTTGTACATAATACAAGCCTTTCATTTAGTAATTTCATAATGTAAGTGAGAAGAACTGTAAAGGTACTACTGAAATGCTATTATATTAGAATTTTGATTCAAATTTTGATTATATTCCTGTCCTTTATTTGACAGAGAAATAATAAATTGAAACATTTGAGTGTTCACTATCAATATAATTGTAATTTTTTGATTTTAACTCAATTTTTCACATCTACGAATTTGTGTATTCTTTGGTTGTGATCAGGAAATTGTTTAAAAAAAGACTGAATTTATTTAACTTTTAAACAAGATTTATTAAGATCTTTTCATATTATTTCAATATTCAGAGTACTGCATTTCACATTGTTAGCATGCCAAACTGTTTCTTGGAGCTTATTTTTTCTTTGGTGTACAGAGAAAAGATTATTAAACATTTTTTTGTGAAAACTATTTCCTTTTTATCACTGCTATCAGTGTGGATGACAAAAGGGGAGCTATTCGTCATCAACGTCCTCAACTTAGTTGACAAAAGAGCTATTTTGACCGTGATTTTGCTGGCATGCTTTCATTATGCCCTACCCTCAAATTAATTTGAAATGAGGTGATTGAGGTCTATTGTACACATATGCACCCAACTGGCAACCATATTTGATCCAAAAATGGCAGAAAACTTGCATTTTATGTGTGTGCATTGCCCCTAAATTGTGCTGACCAATTGGAATATTAGTAACACCTGTTGGCTTGCTGAGAGACATCAATATTTTTTTCAGGATTTGTTCCAACATTGACCAACTGGCGGCCTATTTGTATGACAAACATATTTAGTCTCTGTTTCGAACAAAGTTTGGACTCATGGGTTATTAATTTTGGTTCCGTTTGTCAAACATGCTTTGACCCATCACAGGGCCCATGTATGATGACTTGCATGTGCACTTTGACTTTTATTATTTGATCAAATATGGCTGCCTGGTGGTTCTCAAAATTGCTAAATTCTAATACCTAAATTTGTCATTCAATATATTGTAATATTGTAGGTTATGTTATTTTATGATTTAATAAAATTTATCAAATTGACAGCCATTTTGTCTAAAATTGCAGTGTGAAAATGTGTTCAGAATAATTAGGCCTTTGTATCGGGATCATACATACCATAGATGGTATCCAATGCTAGTTCCTCTGTATGCATGATTGTAATCACCACATTTTGTCAGTCAATGTACTTCAAGTTGTACTGCATTAAAATTGACATACAAATGATGCACAAGTCCTTTGGTAGACATGTCTATCTACATGTGATTTGTACTAAACACTGAGATCAACTGCTGGTAAAACAACATGGGGACGATGCATTGTCAAAGCTTGTTATTTATATTAAGCTTGAGTATGCAACTAGTAAAGTTTATTAAAACTTAGTACAGACGCAATGTATTGTTTCACAAACATTCTTTTTGCAGCAATCCTATACAAGATGGCCAACTGGCAGCCATTTGTATCACAAAAATTTAGTAATCCTTATTTTTTCTGCACAATTATGCTTATACATTTGTATCTCAAATTCACACTGTGCAGGTAATTTGGTACACAGAAAATTGTGTTCAAGCACATCAATAAAAGATGATTTGTGTTGTGATACAATCCAAGATGGTCATATTTTCATCCAAAATTTCAGCAAAATGCTGGGAGATGGTGATGTATTGCCAAATATGGTTGCTATGGTGGATTATAAATTTGCAGTTATGTTCTTGCTGCTGACCTATCTTTTCAAGATACAAAAACTAAAATTTAAACATGATACACTGTCATGGTGACCTAAAATAAAAATATTTTTGGCTGTATGTTATCATCAGTAATATTGGTAAGTTACTGTTTGTTATACTGCCCTCTATGATACATGTATTTGTCATAAACACAAGTCTATTCAGAACGCTTAGGCAGAGTCACAATAGGACAGCGACAAGAGACTGGAACTGAGTCTATTTGTATGTAGAAACTTTTGAACTGTGGAATTCACACTATGGTGTACCGGTATGTTAGGCTGGAAAGTAACCACTCATAACGTTGCGTCAATTGGACAGTTTTAGAACAAAATTGTTGCAACTTTTGAAAAGAGATGTATTGTTCTAGTGATTACAACCACCATTTGAATCGTGAATTAGACCAGTTTTAGAATTAAGTTGTTGCAACTTTTGAAAGTATTGTTCTAGTGATTACAACCAAGGTTTGAATCATGAATCAGACCAAATTTGAAACTAGCAGAAGATGAACTATATCTATGATGCACTTACAAATGGCTGTGAATTGTACAGAGTAATTACAATTCAACATGTATACAGGAGTTGACTATTTGATTTTGCACAGTGAAAATTTGAAAAATAAACATCATACAGGGCAAATGAAAGAAAAAAAATATTTTACATGTAAAAAGGAACGCATACAAACACTGATAGAAAGAGGAGAATATATTTTTAGAGTATCATCAAGTGCATGAAAAAACATAAATTGCAGTTTTCCACCACTATCTCCACAACAATTATGATGGATCAACCCTGAATAGGATTTTGTTGTTGAATATAATAGAAACATACTACATGTATTACATTGAAAACCTCACTTTTAAAAAATTGAAAAAAAAATCCGGATATGAAAAAATAGTTTTATTTTAGAAAACTACAAAAAAAGTTACCAGACGTATTACAGCCTGTAAGGACGTAGTTCCAGTACTGAGTCAACCAACTGAACTTTCGAGAGTTCACTCTCGCGTAAAGCATTGTGGGAAAACAAAATGGCTGCGTACATTGTAGAAGTCGAGCCGCACAATGTTGTGCAATGTTGACGCTTCGCCCCACTCAGCTGCTGAAGTCCATCCACACTCTGCAACTGACTGCACGCGAACAGTGAATTGAAGATGTTCGAGGGGCTTTTTGGCGACGAGGATGATGCGTTCTCTCAATCGTTTGCCATGGGAGACGCTCTTACCGAAGTCAACGGTAAACGATTTCCGGCCCCGAGCGCACCCCGTCGGCCCTGTGGTTTATGTGGCATACAGAACCAGGGGTCCACATGTTATTTGAATTCATTACTCCAAACTTTACTCTATACACCAGAATTCAGGGGTGAGTTTTCCATAGCCTTACACATTTTTTCTTAAATAAATAAATAAGAAATTAATTCTGCCAAGAAATCGCGACTCTGGTACTGTACGATCTGTCACTGCACATAGAAAAACCAACACGGACGGGCATAAACCATTTCAAGCCTGTTAGTGTAACCACCCTCTATAGACCAATTGCTTGACAATGCATGTTAGTAACACACCATACCGTTCAAAGGGCCCTGGAGACGCCAAACCATGATGAATATAATCATAGCTTTTTGATGAATTGTCATTGCCCGAAACGCAATTAGATTCAAAGAAACCGATGTGATAAATCTTGTGGTTCTGTAATTATCGGACTCTGTGTTCTAATTTGCATAGTTATTGGAAAAATTGTAGGTTAAATTTAATAGTAGATGTAAATAAAAAATTTTGATTGTACAAATGTTACATTTGTACTGCATATTTATAATTTTGTTAGTTGTTTTCTTATAGAAAGTTTATTCCAAATTGGATCTGATGAATTAGGAGAGCTGTCAGAAAAGGATAATCCACAGGCAAAGGTTTGTAACATTTATTGCACTTTTTATTTCACCTTGTATTGTCAGCAAATTAGCTGATTGTGTGCCTAGCTTTAAAGCAGGAGTGTCCGTCACCTGTGCACGCGCAGGAATTTAGTCCCAAACGACGGTAACAACACACGCTAAAAATGCAAAGGCTCATGGGTAGACGCCTGTTTGTAAACAATGACACACTATGGCCATCTGACGCATGCGCATGTAATGACTTCCCCCGCTTTAAGCATATGACACAAATTTGGAGCCATGGTGAAATAAGTCAAATAAATACAAAAGTGTGTGAGCATTGGTGACTGCATCTCTCTTCCCAGCATCAACATTTCCTCTTGCCTAATATTTTTTTCACCAAAATGATTTATTCAAATGCTGCAATGCGTTTGGTAAATGCTGAAGGCATTTCAAGGCTGTAAAGCCCAAGAGACTGGTATAAGCCGCTACACCATCACATGCGTGGTCAACATAGAGTAAATGGCATAGAACATAAATCAGCTCCTTTAATGAGCGGAAATGCAATATTTATTCATGACTTTCATCATAGTTTTGCGAAGTAACATTTTTGGAGCGCCTTTAACCAGATCTTTGTCATACACTCCGATTTGACCTTTCCATGCTAAACAAGCTCACGCCTATATGCAAATTTTACTGTGTCATCCTGAAGCATGCTTAATTAATAGGCCTTCGGTCTATAACATCACTCGGCATTATGGCATCTGATCGTTTAGTTAAAAAAAAAAACATTATCAAAGAGGGTTCTTTCACATTTGTTCATTACAGGTGGCAACTGTTTTTTTCTAATATTTGGTCAAAACTGCAATTTTTTACTTCTTTCCTGCTTTGATATCTGTTGGGTCTGTGCAAAGGTGTAGTCTCATTTAGATTTGTTCATTCAATGATAATATCTGCTTTTTTCTGTTTTGGGGAATTTGTTTTTTATTCAATATTACAAATTTTCAGCAGTGACACTATTTCAACCAACAAGGCATTTCTTGTTTTACATTTTCATTTGGTGTTTATACACACAGGTTCGAGTGATTCCAATTCAGCTACAGAGACTGTTTGCTCAGCTATTGCTGCTAGACCAATACACAGTGAGCACTACCGATCTAACTGATAGTTTTGGATGGACCAATAATGAGGTAAACATTCTCAGATTTGAAATGTGATTTAATGTGTACATTTCAAGTATGTGACTGCATTTCTCACAAGAAGAGACCAATGAAACTAGAATTCTGTTGTGAAAGTCTCAGTGCATGTACATTTGTTTTTTTTTATGGGAAAAACTTTTTAAATCATGAGGAGTGCCTTGAAGAGTTTGACCAGGGCAATTTTTTTTCATCGTTTCTTGTGTGTACATTTTTATTTTGCTTTCTTTCATTTTTTTATTTTTATCTCATTGTCTAGCTTGCAATTTTTGTTTACACAAATCTTCCAACCACTACCCACGGTTCCAAATGGTCGACTTATTATTTACTGATGTATTTGAAATAAACTTTTAAATATTTGTATGCGATTTCAAACTGACATGACATAATAGTAATCATATTACTGAATTTGTTGTAGGAGTTGCAGCAACATGACGTGCAAGAGTTGAATCGTATTTTATTCTCAGCGATAGATAATTCATTAGTCGGCACATCAGGACAACACCTTATTTCAAAGCTGTACCATGGCTCTATTGTCAATCAGGTTTGTCAAATGTAGACTTGTGTATTATCTGTGTTAAATTGAACTACACATTATAATTCAAGGAAGGCCTAAAAAGCATAAAAAGAAAAGCTTTAAAAGCCTTATTCTCCTTAAAGGGAAAAACAGGCAAAAATCTAAGTATACCACTGTCACTCTGTTTGATAAACTAATCAGACCAATTCTCACATATGGTAGTGATGTTTGGGGAGATGAAATTTCACTAAAATCACCAATTGAAGATGTACATATAAATTATCTTCGTTTTCTTTTGGGTACATCCAAAAACACTACAACAATGGGTTTATACGGAAACTTGGACGTTACCCATTGGAGACTTTTATCGAAAAACAAATGATAAAATATTTTAATCGTATAAAGAACTCGTCAAATCCATTACTAAAACTAGCTTTCCAAGAAAATAAAGAAATTAATAGTAAATGATACACCAATATAGATTCCCTTTTAAATAACATCACCAAAGATACAATTCATAGCCTTGCTAAACAACAGTGGCCTAACACTCCCCGTAGCAAGGTACCTAAAGACGTGTTTTGAAATAAGACAGCAACCCCAGTGACAACCTTCTTTCACTATTTGAGTTTTGCATTTTGTTTTCTATCTATCGTAGTATCATAATTTTATACTTGCTATTATCTGTAATGTATTAGCTTAGCTTTTTTTTTTTTTCCTTTTTTCTATTTACTGTTTTGTAACCTTTTATTACCTTTTTATTATAAATTATAAAGACGGTGCATTGCCATTCTGTGATGATACAGTCTGCTGCACAATCAACATTCTTGGTTAACAATAAATCATATAAATATGTGTTTCCATCAATGTTGCATTTTTAACCAACTCGTTCAGTATTCTTGGTGCAAAAATATTAACATCATGGGCAACACTCTCCTGTAGTAATTTTAATAGACAGATTCGAATTTGGTTCTTTTGCATTGGAAATATTCTGTGGCATTTCATATGGAACATCCTAATGTAGACGGCCGGCCGGCCGACTGGTGGCCATGCCCATGTGATACCATACATTGATGCATTTGATTGAAATATCTTACATGTTTTAGGTCATACATAACATTTCATGTACCTTTTAAAGCTAGTATCATAATATTGGTGCTAAGAACCACAAATGGTTAAAATTATGTGAGTGTGATCATGTAACTAAAAAGATGGCATTTGTCATGCGCAATGACTGGTTGGCTTGATAAAATATCAATAATGCAACACCACAATATAAGCCAGGAATAACCTCTAAGCCAGTGTGCCAGCCTATATGCCTCGTTGTAATAAAAAATATTAATGTTAATCATTTTCAAAAAGAGTTAAATGTAATTTGAATTAATGTAAACAATTGCTGGGTTTAGTTACATGTTTACTCATACCATGCTCTCCTCTCTGCTAGATTATATGCCAACAATGTGGGAAAATAAGTGAAAGACAGGTAAGTAATTCACTAAAGACAAAATAGTTTGTCTGTTCCATGTATGCTGCAAGTTTAGAAGTACAAGAAATACACCAGTTATCAGTTTTTAATTTCACACTTCTTATTCAAAATTACTGTTTTGGCATCATCTACTGTTGACACATAAACACCAAACATTAATTACTGCCCCCTTGGCATGCATGTATGACAAACAATTCCCACAGTCTGTATGCACCATACAATATATTGTAAATTAGATCCTTTGGTGCATCAGCATGACAAGCATTTCTATAGTCCTTGAAACAGTAACCAACTTGGTTACATTTTGATATACTGGTACCATCAATAGCGAGAAAAACATAGAACTGTTGTGATCATAGAAAGCTGTATGGTGTGTTAATCTTTTCACCACCATTCCCTCTTTTCATCACAAATAGTCTGCACTTTCCTTCAGAAGATTGGAAGAAAATAGCCAAATTTTTTGAGTGAAAACTGAAAATTGACTCAAATTTTGACTATTGGCTCCAAAGCCAGGGATCACTTCCAGAAATATTGAAAAATATAATTAAAACAAGTGCACACAATTTGGGTAAGAAACTTATGAAGTTATCAAATGAGCACCAAGTGTGCAGATAATAAAGACAATTGTGTTACTTTGCTGGGATTATCCATTATTTGTTGTGAATCCCAAGAAAGTTTGTTGTCCGAACATAGGAATTATTTTGAAACCAGATTTAACAGTGTTCTCCCCAGAAAAACAGCATAGAGTATCAGGTAATTTGCATAATAATAATATAATATGTTAATCATCACTATTCATTGTTATGCTAAATTGGCCATATTGTTTATCCAAAATTAAACACTTGGAAACCCCTATTCTTTAATGCCCTGAAGAGAACCCTACACAACAGATATAACACCTGTCACTATTTTAGCTTTCTCTTTATTTATTTATTTATTTATTTATTTATTTATTTATTTATTTATTTATTTATTTATTTATTTATTTATTTATTTATTTATTTATTTATTTATTTATTTATTTATTTATTTATTTATTTATTTATTTATTTATTTATTTATTTATTTATTTATTTATTTATTTATTTAATTAGATGTCCTCATGAATAATTAATTACCTGTGAAACAATCAGAGCAAATTTTAGATGCTTGATGATTGTATTGTTATCTATTACTGAAATATTATTTGATTTTTGCAGGAGGATTTTCTTGACTTGACACTGGCTGTGTGTGGGTATAAAGGTTTGGAGGATGTGCTTTATTCCTGTTATCAGGAGATGGAATTATTATCAGGCAGTAACCAGTATAGATGTGAAAAATGTAACAAGTTGGTCAATGCCAAAAAGGTAAAGTTGCTGTTTTACTCTCATGTGTGCGGGTATATAGAACACAATTTTACAAGCATTCCAATACAATTATAAATACTGTTTACAACATTGTAACAATTGGGCAGACTTGCTGTTTATCTTACTTCCAGGACAAACAAAATAAATCCTTCATCCATTTGCAAAAGGGCAGCTATTTAGTCATCACATCAGAAACCATTATGTCTTTATTAACATGTCTTGTGGAGTGTTTCCCCTTGCATTCATGCAGTAAAATCTGCCCAAGTATTTTACAGTATTAGTAACTATGCTTTTGTGCTTAAGGGAAAATCCTACTCATGATTTCAAATTCCCAGAATTTATTCATTTTTTAATGAATTGCACATCTGGGCAATACAAGAATATTGACCTAAAAAAGTTGGGGGTCACCAGTTTGATGTTCAAGAAAATCATGGTTGTATATTTGTGGATAGTGGCCATTTTGGCAGTATTATAGTGCTTTTACCATAGGAACCTATGGCAGAGATATTATTTCATATCTCAAATTGTGACATAGACTGAAAAAATAATATATTGTTACTGATGGGGTACTTTTTGTTTTCCTGATTTTTTTAAAAATAAATCTGGGTTTTAAAAAGCGTTGAAAAATGCAATTTTCGTTTAACATTGCACTCTATGGAATTGTTCTAAAAATAGCTATTTTTGAAAAAATATTACCGATAGTACAAGTTTCTCAAAATATGTCACTGTAACACACAATAGAATGCTATTTCATGGTGCAATGGGACAATAGCTTCATGATTTTACATAATAAACCAATGCGATTTATGACCAACTTTCTCAAAAATGATGAGTAGGCTTTTACCTTAAAATACACTATGTTCAAATTTTGCATAGATATACAATGCAATTTGCCCTCGCATACATATAATAATGCTTTCATAATAAATAGTCTTATTCAAAGACTTTTAAAACTTGTGTCATCTGCGATGTCCAGAATTTTGATCACTTGTTATGATTTTAGGGTGCCAGACTACGTACATTACCACCAATCCTCACATTGTCGCTACTCAGATTTAGTTATGACTTTGTTAAATGCGAACGATACAAAGAAACTGGTAAATTTACATTCCCTCTGGAAGTTGACATGAGTCCATACTGTGAAAACGTAAGTATAAATTCTGTAATTTGACATGATGGTATTCATACAAAATGTATATTCAATAATGTTGCAAGTTAGATATTAGTCTTGCTGCCTCTTTTCATAATCTTAAACCCTGTAACTAAGACTAGTTACTCATTGCTATGAAAATGGAATCTTCCGCTTTGAGTTGAACCAATCCCAGTATTGAACTTTAAGATCATTATGCAAATACATGTTCTCAAAGTTACCAGATTTTTGGAGAAAGTAGTTCTGGTTTTGATTTCAATGTGCTTGAATAAATGGGACTTCATAGATCTCTGATTCTGACTTTATGCTTCTTGGAATTCTTTGTACTCCACACAAAACAATCCTAATACTCACCCCACCCAATAATCATAAAATCACAAGACAAACGTACATTTCTACAGATATGAATTCAAATGAAATCTTGTTGAAAGCTGGCCAGAAATACCCAATGAAACATGATGTTTCAAAATCTTAATGTTTCATTATAATTTAGAATAGTTTGAAAAATGGTATCTCGTCATGTGATATGATGGATGTAACCCAATGACTGGTTTTCAACTTCTTGTTTACCATTGTTTGCATTGTTGAATCTTACACTTTGTCCTCCTGAAAAATAAAAAAAAAGGAACGTTGAGCATGTTTTTGACAAAATTTTTTAGTAAAGATCACAAAATTTTAGAAGCTATTTCAATTTTTTTACACAGACCTTACCAGCAGAGAGTACTGAATATGAGTTGTTTTCAGTCGTCATTCATAAAGGCAGTGGGTATGGAGGACATTACCATGCATTCATCAGAGATGTTGATACTCTTGGGAAATGGAATTCACCTGTAAGTAATGATTATTCAATGATGTGTTACGAGTTTTGCCGTATGGTTATGGCAGTCTGATTTTAATGGCTTCCTACTACTATATGAGTGGAATACCAATTAAACCAGAAGTACAAAACATTCTTATAGTACTCCTATATATAGGACTTTTCATGAAATCTTGTAGAATAATAAGGCCCATAGGATTTTACATTGTCTGTTCTATAGAACTAATACATAAAATCACAAAGCCTACAGGATTATAAAATTCTTATCAGACAAAATCCTATAGGATTCCTGTAATATGTTGACACATTTTTCTATAGGATTCCTATAGGACTATTCCTATACAATTCAGTGTAAAATGCTATAGGAATCCTACAGGTGTTTGTCTTTCGAAACAAAGTGCTCTACATAAATAAGAATTTCATACACAATGTAGAAGCTAACCTAAATCAAAGGTAATTAAATTATAAAAAAAACAAAATTAAAGCAGTTTACTTGTATTAATTTGCAAATCTACCAGTAGTGTGAGAAATATAACCATATTTTGAGGTTTTTTAATATCATATTGTAGTTATCTATACCCTGACCTTGTACCTGTGCCTACTTAGTACATGTAGTTATTAATTCCTGTTGGTATGTAGTAGGAAACTTGAACTTATTGATTGTCCTCTGTGCTTCCATTTGTCATGATCACATTTAAAATTGACACATGCATCATACATCTTGGAAGACATAATGCATGTTCATTTATTTCATGATCAGATTTAAGATGGTTGAATGACGGCCATTTTTACTCACATGCTGGAATTGAGTCCCAAGCTGCAATAACAACACGCGCTAAGGCTCATGGGTAAACGCTTGTTTGTAAACAATGACACGCTATGACCATCTGACGCATACGCAGGTGACAACTCCCCCACTTTAAAATTCATCAATAGTTTTCTCTTCGTTGTCTTTGGTGAATTTTGTTCAAAATTGATAGATACATTGAACATAATGCCCATTTTGTTTAAATGAATGCAGTTTCAGAGCTATATCTCTGACATACATTGACTGATTGACATGTTGAGACATATACATTACTTATGCTCTTATGCACATCTGTTTGTTTGGTAATCAGGTTAAAGATGGCTGAGTGGCAGACATTATAATGTTGAAAATTCAGAAAAATCAATCTTTTCTGCCATTCCGTTATATTGTTATTAATATATAATCTTTGATAGGGAAAACTTACCTACTTACCTACTATGTAGTTTGTGAATCAATGTGCATACCAACATATTTCACAGCAAACATTTTTAACAATTTAAATATCATTTCACTCTTTGTTTTTAAGGAAGATGAACCAATTCACATAGCTTCTGATCCAAGCAGTGGTAAGATTGATTACATTGAACTGGGTAAACCAGACGAGGTCTTATCAGCCATACTGGTGCAAGAAGGTGGACCACATTGTAATTTAACAATAGATAAGCTATGCCAGGTTAGTGCTCTGATATCTGTCTTTTGTCTGCTGGTCAAATACTACAACTGGCACCAATTATATTTCACAAATTAACACCATATATTTCATTTACTGACATAAGACAAGATAAGACTTTATTTATTACAACTTTACAAATGTTAACAAGTGGAAATACCAACAATTTGTTTGACTTTTTCAACAGTTTGTGCTGTCTATTTTAGAACCAAATTAAGTTTTAGTTCATGCATGTGTGCATGTATGTATGCATGTATGTATGTATGTATGGATTAGCAATTTGCACACTAGTTCCTGTTGGGCATCAGTAGGGTAAAACTAACGTGTCTCACGACAATACCTGCTCATGTTTGATGTTTAAAACGTTGACCAAGCTTGGTTCGAACTACGATTTTCTTATTGGTAGTCAGTACCTATAATCCCTACTCTATCAGAGGTTTGACTGGGATAGATATAAAGATGTATATGTTTGAAAAATACATTCATCATCATTGATATGTATGACAATGTATTTTGTATTTATGCAAATGTACTCTTCCACTGTCAACAATGGGTGGAGCAGTGTGTGCATTTATTTTGCATTTTCAATGGTTTGTCATGGTAAAAATCATTAATACCATTGTAGCTATGCTGTTTCAAGTGTAAAAGCCACATATATCATCAGCATCTTGGAAACACTTAGCACGGCCACTCAGGTGATTAACTATACAAATTACATTGTATCATATGATGTTCATCTCCCGTCATATGTGTTCAGTTTCTGTCTTCCACTGGTGTTTTAGGTTGTGTGTAGTGTTCTCTCTCAATTGCTAGTTTATGGCTGCTGATTCTAAACTACACCATTGGCTTGATTTACTGTCTGTTGTTGTCGAGTAGTTTATTTCTTTTGTTCTAATTTTGTTTTTAATGTATTTTGAGTATGTAACTAGCATTATCTCTCTTGTTGTCTCATTCCATCTGTTGTTGTTAGTGAAGTTTTTTAACCAACTGTAATTTTATTTGCAAGTAGAACTTGATAAAACATACTGGTGTGACATGGAACAAGCGATTCAAGAAACACTATGGGCCAATTCAGAAGGTACAGTAGCAATGACTATTTCACACCCAAGTATCCCACACCAGCTACATTTATTTTTTTATTTATTTATTTATTTATCCTTTTTTCGCTCATTCTGTTTTCATTTATTTTCAGTTTTTAAAAAAGCATGATGAAACTTTTAACTTCTCTCCCACAACAAACTCTGTCAGTTTGAAGCACACAGACAAGAAATCCATCTCCTTGGCCACAGTAACCATGGAAACCAGTTGTGAAAAGAAGCTGCAAGAAAATGAACAATTGGCAGCAGAAGAAACTTTTGATGAGAGTAGGCGAGACTCTAAAAAAAGTTCAAAGTATAAAAGGTAGTTATTGGCTTGTCACTGCATTATTGGGTTACATGCAGGACGGTATGCAAAAATAAGTTAGTTACCATTTAATTTTTGTTCTATGTAAACCAGTCTATTTAGTCTGTCAGGTCTATATCTAAAATGACCACTCCCTGTGATTGGAGTGTAAGAGTGATGCAAGGTAGCCAAGGAAAATAGTACAAATCATGAGAACTTGATTGACCAATCAGAATACGGAAACCATTACTAGTTCTTGGCCTCTTGAGGGTTGTTGCACCCTGACACTTGAGGAAGGAACCAGCTAATTTTTGGAACATGGAGGGTTTTGTTTTTATTTCTGGCATGCCAGTGGGAAATCCACAGAGTGTGCTGAGTCATAATTGCTTGTATGTTATGATTTTATGAGTTGCCCTTCCTCATGTTAGTATGGGTTGGTATTTACAGAGAGCCATCACCACCGCCATTAGATGGACATGCATGGTATGATTTCAACGACTCCAGAGTATTTCCTATCAAAGACAAAGATATACAAAACAGTACTCGGGAAAAGAAAGTGCATATATGTTGTTTTATAGAAAAAATCTTTAAAGAGGCCAAATGAAGTGAGAGCTTTATTATAGGAAATGCCCATGTACCTTAACTATGATAGAGTTT